AGACAAAAATAATGACATATCAATTTTAAAAATCGGCCGTCAAATAACCAAGTTACAACGAAAAAACCATTTCGGCTGTATTTCGGAGGGTTAAAAAAAAAAAAAAAAAATTTTTCCAGAACCCTCTCAACATAATCTTTAAATTTAGGGGCGGACATTAGCAACTTTTTTTTTCGACCCAGTCTAGTACTTATATTAGAGTATATATAAATGAGTTTGGAAAAGAGTGCATAGCAAGTCCAATAGGTATGAAATTTTTTATCAGCTATAACTTCGGAACTATAAGTCCCACGAACTTGAAATTTAGTATGCAGATATATCAATGGTAGGTGCTTATATATAAATGGTTTTGTAAAAGGAGGCGTGGTACATCCCATAGGCGTGGAAAATTTTATCAGCTATAATTTCAAAAGCATAAGTCAAATGAAATTGAAATTTGGTACGCAAACGTATCTATGGTAGGTGTTTATAGTAGGTATCTTAATATAAATATACCGTGTCACTCTGTTCGTTTACGCTAATCTCCGAAACCGCTTAACCGATTTCACTGATTTTGTGGGTGTGTATTGTTGGTTCCAACTTAAAAGATAGGATAGTTGTGAACCCGAGAAAAAAAATTTTTTTTTTCATCTAAATTTTTTCTATGCTTCTCGCATTGGTCTTATCTAATATACATATAAAAGTTGAACTCTTCCTAAACGGCTCAACCGATCTTTATGAAATTTTTTGTGTTATGTTGTGATATGGTAGGTATGAGAATCGGATGTAAAGTATATTTCATACCGCTAGGTGCAGGGGGCGTGGCACCTCCCGAACCGAATTTTTCATATTTCACATCTCTGGAAGTGTTCATGGTAGACTACTCGAATATGCTATGGAGATGTATGAAAACATTTGCATATTCATGGATCAAAATTGCGGTTATTGGAAAAAGTTACGAGGCACCTCCCATACAAACCGAATTTTTCATACTGCATATCCCGGAAAATGTTCATGGAAGTGGTCTCGAACTTGGTATGGAGATATATGAAAGCAATCGCATACTCATGGAGATAAATTGTGGTTATCGGAAAAGGAGACACATCGAATTTTTCATACTGCATATCTCTGAATGTGTTCATGGAAGGGTACTGGAACTTGGTATGTACAAGATATATAAAACGCGAATGGTCATGAAGAAAAGTTGGGGCTATTGGAAAAAGGGACGTGGCATCTCCCATGGTAAATTACTCGAAAATGGTATAGAAATATATGAAATCAATCCCATACTCTTAGAGAAAATTGGGGTTATTTGAAAAGGGGACGTGGCGCCTTTCAAACGCACTGAAACTATTACGTATCTTTGTATGCATGTACAGTTTTGCTAAGTTATTTAAGACGGCAAATATGCCTTCTGACAACCCCCAAACCGTAATATTAGAAGACAAATACGTCACTAAAAATCATGAACGTGAACTCTTGGTGAAAATGTTGGACCAAGATGTTTCAATACACGGTTAAAAATTTCAAACTTTTTGGACTACATATATGACCAAACTACATAAATTCAGTTTCAAATACAAACCTTCTAAATTTAAACAAAAAGAGGGCACATATGTTGGGCTTAGAATTTAAACAGTTCGGTTTAAATTTTAAACCCAAACATTTTCATAATTAAGAATAAAGAATAAAAATAAAATTTCATGCTCCGTCTGATGGGGAGTGAACCCGGACAGCCTTAGTAGCAACCAATTGTATCAAGCAGCTTTGCACACTCAGCTACAGCCGCGCATGTAAATGTGCTTTCATATGTTGAGTTTGAATCAACACCACATTTCGTTGTGTGCAAAAACTTAAGAGGGCACATATGTTGGGCTTAGAATTTAAACAGTTAGGTTTAAATTTTAAACCCAAACCTTTTCATAATTAAGAATAAAGAATAAAAATAAAATTTCATGCTCCGTCTGATGGGGAGTGAACCCGGACAGCCTTAGTAGCAACCAATTGTATCAAGCAGCTTTGCACACTCAGCTACAGCCGCGCATGTAAATGTGCTTTCATATGTTGAGTTTGAATCAACACCACATTTCGTTGTGTGCAAAAACTTAAGAGGGCACATATGTTGGGCTTAGAATTTAAACAGTTAGGTTTAAATTTTAAACCCAAACCTTTTCATAATTAAGAATAAAGAATAAAAATAAAATTTCATGCTCCGTCTGATGGGGATTGAACCCGGACAGCCTTAGTAGCAACCAATTGTATCAAGCAGCTTTGCACACTCAGCTACAGCCACGCATGTAAATGTGCTTTCATATGTTGAGTTTGAATCAACACCACATTTCGTTGTGTGCAAAAACTTTTTCTATTTCGGTTTAGATTTTAAACCAAATTTTCTATATATGGAACCTAGAAACTAGAATTAAAACATTTGGGTTTGATTTTTAGACCACGAACTTTTTGGACTAAAATTTAAACCACAATATATTAAAAATTGCTTAAAACTATTGACTGGTTTAAAAAGTAGACTATAAAAGATTAAAAAAGGCAGTAGTCCCAGCGCGGTTTAAAAAATAAACCCAAATTTTTTACCGTGTACAAAAAATTATTTTGGGCGGGACGAAGTTCGCCGGGTATGCTAGTTATTATATATTTTTGAAATAAAAATACTCCACCTTGTACACCAGAAAATTTCTTTAAACCATCTTGCGCAGCAATTTGTTGATATTATCTTCACGGTTACCGAAATCACCAACCTCAACGTAGTGGCCAAAGTAATTTGGAAGCTTTCTTGAAGTGGGATCCAACAGTGAATATTTCGTGCGCCAAATAATCAACGCACTGAATATCGTGCGCTTTGCGCAATTTGCGTTCGATCACAAAGTTTGTCAGAGTTTGGGACACGTTGATGGTTGTGCTTGACAATTCCACGTTTGTAGATCAATTCACGAACTGATTTAAGATTTGGATAGCCCCATGTAATATAGGGTTCGGCAATCCGTAGCATATTAATGATTGCATTGTTCAATTCGATGAACAAACCTTTGTTAATGTGGAGAAGACGGAACCACAGTAAAACTTTACGCACTTTTGGTGCAACTTTGTTGATACCGCAGATACAGATCACAAAAGCCATTCCGCGGGCACGTAGAATGGGCCGCGTTTCTTTGCCAGACGGCGCAACTTCATCTAACGGCGTCCATCACGGAAATATTTTGCTTGATATTTCTCAGCATGCTCCAAGTTTTCACGCTTGCGGAGTGCAATCACAGTAGAGCGCTTTAGTTTACGCTTGATCAGGGTAGCACGTTTGCTGACCTGCTTCTTGCTTAACTTCAGCTTCGACTCGGGGACAGCAGGCAGCTTCCTGGAAGGCAGTTTTCCCTTTGCTTCGGGCTTCTTATCGGCCGTGGTGGCAGTCATCTTATCTTGTCACTTAGAACGTTGAGAGGGCGAAAAAAAGTTCGCCAAATATTTGGAGCACAACTTAAATAACGCCACTGGATTTACAACATTTCTATTAAACACAATTTAATTTAATTAATTACCTTTTTAATACATAGATATGCTGCAACTAGGCACTTACTTTCCCAAATTCCATCTTGCTTATGGGCATAATTTACCAAATGTGCTGCTACCTCATACTAATAACACTGGACCACAAATTTCAACTTTTTCTCTTTACCAGAAACGCCGTTATGAAATTCTTATGTAAAATCACCCCCTGATTCCGAAAATCAAGGTTATTTTTAATTCTATGGTACCGTTTTTGAGATATTTGCAATTTACCGTTTTTGCAAAAAAAAAAAATGTTTTAGATGTAGGCTTTAGAAATTTTCTGTGTCTTATAATTTTGAAAATCTACCTGCATACTTACCCATAACTGACGGAAATACATGTTTATAACTACATGCCTACAGCAGGTTTCGAACCCAACCACTCTTCCTTTCGATGCAACCACTCTACCTACTATAATACAATTCGAGTATTAAAAGTACTATTTGATTTATTTAAAGAAAAAGTGTTATCATTGTTATGGTGTTATTCGTTTATCCGGATAATATCTCACTTGCACTTTATACCTTTAATATATGTATGTATGTATAGGTACATACATTGAAGTTGCGCAACCTGGGTATTTTTATTTGATCGCTTATAACTTACGTAGTTTTGCATCGATTTTCTTCGATGATAGCTTATTTTTTTTGTAATACAACAGAGCTTAGGGAGAAAAAAAAATCTGCAAAAAAATAAAAGGTTTTCGAGATCCTTCCCCGCAAAGTACAATTTTTTTTATATTTTTACAAAAAAAATTAAAAAATCGGTAATGATTGTTCGTTATCTTTGAATCTACAGGGCCTAGCAAAAAGTGTTGTATGCACAGTTTATAGAAAATTTTATTACCTTTTAAAAGCTTCAAACCGTTTTGGAATTGCTTCGTTCTTGAGATATATATGATAAAGTGGACCCAATT